GAGCAGTTTGATATACAATGTTTTTATGTGACCCCATAGAAAAATAATCCAATTTTGTTAAGTCTGGCGATCTAGGTGGCCAAGAAATGGGACCGCCACGGCCTACCCATCTATGTTCAAATTCTCGATTTAAATAGTGTCTGACATTTAACGCAAAGTGTGCAGGGGCACCGTCATGCTGTAGCCACATATTTTGCCTTAAACAAATAGGAATCTTTTGCAAAAGTTCGGGCAAATAATTTTGCAAAAAATCCAAATATGCGGCACCATTCAAGTGTTCGTGAAAGAAATGTGGCCCAACTATAAAGTCACCCATAATACAACCCCAAACATTTACCGTCCACTGTCGCTGAGTATTAACTGACCTCTGATTTTTGGGTTTTCTGTTGTATAATGGTGAAGATTATGACGGTTTGGGCTACCACTCTGAGTGAAAGTCGACTCTTCAGAAAATAACACTTTTACGAAAAAGTTAGGTGTTGCTCGTTCCATTTCCAAGCCCCATTGGGAAAATGTTCTCCTAATCTCTAAGGCAGGATCCAACAGTTCTTGGTGGAATGATATACTGTAATCATGGCACCCATTCCTCTTTAAAATGTTGCTAACGGTAGATCGGAGTATATCGGTTGCTTTGGATATTGTCGCGAAACTGGTAGAAGGCTCTTAAATTACAGACAACAAAACATTCAATTGATCGTCGTCGTTTGTTCTTTTAGCCCTTTCACATTTTTTATAATTGGCATTGTCTGTTCCCATAAATCTTTCCTTGAGTTTTTCTAGGTATCTGACCGAGGGTTGTCTCCTATCGGCATATTTTTGCACATACATCCTTTGCGTTACCAGACAATTTTGATCAGCAGATCCCATAACGAAGGTCATGTCAAGTAGTTTCGTTCTTTCGAAATTCATCTGTATTTATTTAACTACTGACGTTCTTATGAGTTAAGACTGAAATATACAAAACGAGTGGGTAACTACTCACCGAGTAGAAAATAATGATCAACTTTGACAATTGTGTGAGAACATTTACAAAATATGTTTTAGGGATTAATAAAAAATAAGATCAAGAGTGTGATGTGATAATCAACAATGTGACATTTATATTTTCTGGGCTCACAAACTTCAACAGGAACAAACAAATGTTTGTTTTTTGTTTCCATGTCAACATGTTCCCGGTTAACTTGATCAAAATAAAAATAAAATAATTTTTAAAATTTTTCCGAATAGCTTAGAAACGGTGATTCTTAGGACTAGGACAACTTACATAAACGGCCCTAAAATGAGACGTTCAATTCGAAAATGGAAAAAAATTACGGGGTTCCATTTGAAAAGCGCATCTTCTTGAGGTTTAAAAACATGCAAGTTCAGAGGCTAATTAAGCA